TTTCATTTTGGCAGTCTAAAGGGAATAAAATAGGCTGGCGCCGCGGCTCACTAGGCTAATCCTCCGCCTAGCGGCGCCGGCACACCGGGTTCTAGTCCCGGTCGGGGTGCCGGATTCTGTCCCGGTTGCCCCTCTTCCAGGCCAGCTCTCTGCTGTGGCCCGGGAGTGCAGTGGAGGATGGCCCAGGTGCTTGGGCCCTGCACCCCATGGGAGACCAGGAAAAGCACCTGGCTCCTGGCTCCTGCCATCGGATCAGCGCGGTGCGCCGGCCGCAGTGCGCCAGCCGCGGCGGCCATTGGAGGGTGAACCAACGGCAAAGGAAGACCTTTCTCTCTGTCACTCTCTCTCACTGTCCACTCTGCCTGTCAAAAAAAAAAATAATAATAATAAAAAAAAAAATAAAGGGAATAAAATGATATCTCATTTTTACTTTAATTTGCATTTGTCTGTGTTTAGAGCAGTTTTTTCATACTCTGGGTCATCTGAATTTGTTCCTTAAATTGCATGTACAATTTTTACATTGAGTTGTTGGTCTTTTCTTGTCATTTCTAAGAAAATTTAAATAAAAATTAACCCTTTGCCTGTTACCCACAAGTATTTTTCTGGTTGATCTGTTGAATATGTTTATGTTACATTTTGCCCTACGAAAATCAAAACATGATCTGTTTGTATGTTTTCTTAAGCTTCAGAGTTCCACTCTTAGAAAGTTTTCCCTAGAAATCTAGGTGACTAGATGTGTAATACAAAGCTTGGGGCTTTTTCTCAACAAGAATGTAAGAAGTCTGTGATTTTTTATTTATTTGAAAGTCAGAATTACACACAGAGAGAAGGAGAGGCAGAGAGAGAGAGAAGTCCTCTGTCCAGTGGTTCACTCCCCAGGTGGCCGCAACGGCCAGAGCTGCACCGATCCAAAGCCAGGAGACAGGAGCTTCTTCCAGGTCTCCCACGTGGGTACAGGGGCCCAAACACTTGGGCCATCTTCTACTGCTTTCCCAGGCCATAGCAGAGAGCTGGATCGGAAGTGGAGCAGCCAGGACTAGAACCGGCACCCACATGGGATGCTGGCGCTTGAGGCCAGGGTGTTAACCCGCTGTGCCACAGTGCCGGCCCCAGAAGTCTGTGATTTTTAAAAAATACTTATTTATTTATTGCTGTAAGATGATTGTAGACCAGGACTAGATTAGATTAATTTGGGTAGTTGTAACAGGCATGGAGAATTTGAGATGCACTTATTAGGAAGTAGCGTCCACAGAAGAAGTCATCAAACTTGGAAAGATGAGTTCTGCCTGCCCCTGTGCCCTTGAAAGTTTCTAAAAATAGGAAGTTTCGGCCGGCGCCGCGGCTTACTAGGCTAAACCTCCGCCTTGCGGCGCCGGCACACCGGGTTCTAGTCCCGGTCGGGGCGCCAGATTCTGTCCCGGTTGCCCCTCTTCCAGGCCAGCTCTCTGCTGTGGCCCGGGAGTGCAGTGGAGGATGGCCCAAGTCCTTGGGCCCTGCACCCCATGGGAGACCAGGAGAAGCACCTGGCTCCTGCCATTGGATCAGCGCGGTGCACCGGCCGCGGCGGCCATTGGAGGGTGAACCAACGGCAAAGGAAGACCTTTCTCTCTGTCTCTCTCTCTCACTGTCCACTCTGCCTGTCAAAAATTTAAAAAAAAAATAAAAATAGGAAGTTTTACATTAAAATTTTGGCTTTTGTCTTCTCTTAAAAGGCAAGAGATCTGGTGGCCAGCACTGTGACTCACTTGGTTAATCCTCCACCTGCGGCATCCCATATGGGTGCTGGTTCTAGTCCTGGTTTTTCTCTTCCATTCCAGCTCTCTGCTGTGGCCCGGGAGGGCAGTGGAGGATGGCCCAAGTTCTTGGGTCCTGCACCTGCATGGGAGACGAGACCAGGAGGAAGCACCTGGCTCCTGGCTTCGGATCGGCACAGCGCCAGCCGTGGTGGCCATTTGGGGAGTGAACCAATGGAGGGAAGACCTCTCTCTCTCTCTCTCTGCCTTTCAAATAAATCTTTAAAAAAATTTTTTTTTCATTTTCTTTGAAAGATGGTAAGATAGAGATCTCCTATCCACTGACTCACTTCCCAAATGCCAGCAGAAGCTGGGGCTGAGCCAGGCCCAAGCCAGGAGCCCAGAACTCAATCCAGGTCTCTCAGGGGAGTGGCAGAGATCCAAGTACTGCTGCCTCCCAGGGTGCATGTTAGCAGGAAACTGGAATCAGTAGGAGTGGACCTGGTGTTCAAATCCAGTCATTCTGATATGGGATACAGGCACCCAAGCACCATTGTAACCACTGGGCAAAATGTGGCATGCACACCCTAAGTTCTGGTGCTTTTTTTTTTCAGTCCCTACAAAGCCCCCTTTCCTTCTGAACAGTTCTTACAGAAGCATTATACAGGAACATGTAGGTCATTCTTAAACTACCGACCATCAGGGATGGCGTCTGAGCCGCTGTTAGAGACAGTACAGGTGTCAAGAGACCAAGGGACATCAGGAAGTACATGGAAAATGGAATTTGAAGTTTATTTTGGTGCAAAAGACTTTGGAATACACGCAGTGTTGTTTATACTACGTATTTCCAGGGACGTTTTTGGAGGGCCGTGGAACTGGTGGAACCTGGCGTCTGTGGGCATGGATTTTGTGCCTTAGTATCTGCCAAGGGCCCTGATGTCCTCTTTTCTTTCGTTACTGGAGCCCTCAACAGTGCTGGATGCTGATGCTGAGACTCTCCTGGTTCTCCCCTTCAGGGTTTCTTTGTTTTCCCGTTTCCCTGAGTTGTCCTGGCCTCAGCTGTTCTTGGGTTGCTCGCTGCGCCTGGGGGATCCCAACACATTTCTTTGGTTGTACCTACTGCTGAGGACTCGCTGACTTAGGCTCTACTATTAGCCTTGATTCTGACCTGAGTTCTCAGCTTCTGATTCCAGGAGCCAGCGTTGCCTCTGCACGACAAGAACCTCGAGGGCAGTGTGCCCACACCCGAAAGTCATGGTTCTCCTCCTCCTGTCTTTCCCTCCTTTCTCAAGGATATTCCCAAAACCAAGCCATTGGTTCAGGTGTCTAGACTCATTCCTCTTCCAGCCTCCATTCCCCCTTCCTGTCTTGTCACCAGCATCTGCTGATTTTACATCTCAATATTGTCAGACCTGGCCCCTTCCTTTTCTGTCCCTCCCACTGCCTTGTTCAGGCCTTTGTTAACTGGTCCGTTGCCATGGCCTTCTTCTAACTGGTCTCCCTGCCTACAGTCTTGCCTCCAGCAAATCCATCCTCCAATCCTGATGCCAGAGTGATCTGAAATGCAAATATGATCTTGCCACTCCCCTGCTTAAAACCCACCAACTGCAGTGGTTCTGTAACCACAGGGTAGCCTCTGACGTGGGCGGAAAGTAAGTCGTTATTCCTCCTCCTCCTCCTCCTATTAGTACAACTGTTACTACTAATACAAGTACTAATGACGGCAGCTAACATTGACTCCGCATTTTTTATCATGCTTTCAAATGATTTGTGATCTCTTCAGAACAAATCATAGGCCATTCAAGGTTTTCTGAATAGCTCCACGCTCATTTGCTTGGGGTGAGGGAGAGGGGCAGAGTTACAGGCAGGCAGCACTGGGGAAATGTCCCTAACCATAAATGATCAGATTCCCTCCTGAGTGACCACGCTGATTTAGCCTTCAAAGGTCACTAGGGATTGCCGTAGTTCTCAGCGAAGATTTGCTTGCATTCCCTACAAAACCTCAAGGGGAGGGGGTTGTCAGACGTCCGGATCGTAAATGTGTCCACAACGTCTGTCACCTGTGGGGCTGTCCTCAGGCCGCCAGAAAGGGAAAGACTGCTGGCACTCAGGTTCAAGTCCAGGTTTCTTGGCCTGCTGTGCAGAACTGCATGATTGGGTCCCTGCCCAGCTCTGCTGCCTCCTGCCGCTCCCTTTCCTGCCCTTTCACACTAGTAAAACCAAGCCGTCTGTGATACTAATCATCACTCCCCCTTACTGAGGCCTCCTATGTGCCAGGCACTGGGCTAAGTCATTATCCCAGGGTCAGCCTCGCAGCAGCCCTACAAGGTAAGTCTTGCTATCCCCATCCCGTGGTGGAGAAGGTGAGGCTCTTAGTGCAGACTCTGAGCTGACCCAGCCAGAGCGGTCAACTGAGTGGCCCCGGGCACCCCTCCCAGCACGGTGTTCCCCTGCATCTGGGTCACACCCCAGGGGCTGGGCCCCCTGCACCCTGGTGGAATGTCTGTGTGCTCCTCCAGGCACAGCCTGGCTCTCCGGCGTCTTTGAAGCCCAGCATCTAGCGCAGTGTCTGGCACATAACAGGCCTCTGTAAGTGTTTGTTGAGTTGACTAAACTGAATTCCAGGAGCTGGACCTTGAGGTCGTTGTCCTGACGCGTTTTCCCTGTCTTCACCTTCTCTAGGCACAAAGCCAGGCTATTTGATCTCTGGAGAAGGACCCCCTCCCTTCCTGCTTGGGTTCCACCTGCACCCTTTGACTTCCGGCGGAAACTGCTGTCTGATCCGCCAATTTGCCCACACTCTGGACACCTGTGCTCTCTCTCGCCCCTCCCCTCTGCACCTCCAGGCTGGACCCGCAGCCGACCTCTGCTCTCCCTCGTTCCGCTTCCCCTGCACCTCGGCTCTCTCCCCTGGGTGGTTTGCTTTTTATTTATTTATTTTTTCCTGTCCCAAATAGTTTTCCAAAAACAGAAAAAAGTCTGCATTTCTTTCTTTCTCTTCCCTGAGTCCTCCCAGTGTGCAGCCCAAGAGTGGGCTTTGCTCCTCAGAATCGCACAGTCCACAACCCGCTGTTTACACCAATTCTGTTTTGCCTTCGGAAGTCCCCTCGCCCTTCCCTGAAAAAAAACCCCTAGGACTCCCAGCCTGGGTGTCTGTCTCTGGGCCCGGCGTGTCCAGCGCAGTGACCCCACAGCCCTCCCCAACTGCTGCCCAGCGCCCCATGGCCCTGCCTTCCCTCACTTCCCAGTCTCCTCTGCTTCTGGCAGCTTTGGGACCCCCGCCCCTGGCTTCTCCTCCATGCTGTATGGAATGAAGATTGCAAATCTGGCCTACGTCACCAAGACTCGGGTCAGGTTCTTCAAACTCGACCGCTGGGCCGACGTGCGGGTCCCAGAAAAGAGGAGAATGAAGCCAGGGTCAGAGATCAGCAAATACCACAAGTCCCTGCTCGCCAGGATCTTTTATGACAGGTGTGTGGGGAGGAGGAGGGGGCGGGGGGAGAGGAGTGGGATGGGGGGAGACGCTGACTGGCCCGGGAAAGAGTGGGTCCTCTCAACATTCTTCCAGGGATGGGGGAATGGGGGAGGGGCAGGTTTCCCCAGGGCTCACCTGGTCCAGCCCCTCCCACCCCAGCACCCACCCCCCGCCTTGACTCCCGCTCTCCCCAGGGCTGAGTATCTTCATGGGAAACATGGGGTGGATGTGGAAGTCCAGGGGCCCCATGAAGCCCGAGATGGACAGCTCCTTATCCGCCTGGATTTGAACCGCAAGGAGGTGCTGACTTTGAGGCTTCGGAATGGAGGGCCCAAACCCGTCACCCTCACTCACCTCTTCCCGCTCTGCCGGACTCCCCAGTTTGCCTTCTACATGGGTGACCAGGAGCTGCCCTGCCCCCTGGGCCCTGGTAAGTGGAAAGGGGCTGGTGCTTTGGTTGTTGGCGCTGTCCAGTGGGCTCCTTGCACCTTGGGGGTGGGGCTGTCCTAGCACAGAGCCACCCCACCCCCTTCACTCACTCAGCCGTTCTCATCCAGGTGAATGCTATGAGCTCCACGTCCACTGTAAGACCAGCTTTGTGGGCTACTTCCCGGCCACGGTGCTCTGGGAGCTGCTGGGGCCTGGAGAGGCGGGCTCGGAAGGAGCTGGCACTTTCTACATTGCCCGCTTCTTGGCTGCCGTGGCCCACAGCCCCCTGGCTGCCCAGCTGAAGCCCACGGCTCCCTTCCAGCGGACCCGGATCACTGCAAACCCTGTGGTGACCACTCGGATAGAGGAAGGAGAGAGACCTGACCGGTAACTGCCCCCCACCCCAGCCCAGGCCGGGCTGCGTGTGTTCCGACCGCGGTGTGGGCCTTTGGAAACCAGACCCTCGTTTCCTGACTGCGGCTTGTTCCCAGCTCTGGGTCTCAGAGAGCCTTTCTAAAGAGGGAGCGCTTTGCAGGCCAGCAGCAGAGCTGAGGGCAGTGAAAAGTTTTCACGCATTTTCCCTGGGTTACGGATTGTCAGGCAGCCCACTGCAGACATCTCTCTCTCTCTCTCTCTTTCTCTCTCTCTCAAAAGATTTATTTATCTTGAAAGGCAAAAAGAGAGAGACAGAGAAAGAGATCTTCCATCCACTGGTTCATTACCCAAATGGCCACAATGGCCAGGAGCAGACCGAAGCCAGGAGCCAGACACTCCATCCAGGTCTCCCATGTGGGTGACAGGGACCCAAGTAGTTAGGCCATCTTCTACTGCTTTCCCAGGCATATTAGCAGGGAGCTGGGTTGGAAGTGGAGCAGCTGGGACTTGAACTGGCATACTCTCCCATAGAGGATGCTGGTATTGCAAGCAGTGGCTTAACCTACTGGGCCATCACGATAAGTGCAGGCATCACCACTGTTAGTTTTAGGACAGTGCATTTCCACACAGAGAGGCCCCATGCCTTGCCTATCACCCTCCTGTCCTGTTTCCCGAGCTTTAAGGAAGCACTCATCTATTTTTTGTCTTTATAGATGTCCTTCACTGGACAGTTGGTATGCGTGCAGTCATAACATGTGTAGGCATCCTTGGACATAGCCAGAGGTTCACAAACTTTGGAGTTGTGAACACAAATTATTATAAAATGGGACCTTCTCGAGTTCCACAGTGTGCTTTTTTCTTTCTTTTTTTAAAGGTATTTTTATTTATTTGAAAGGCAGGGCAACAGAGAAAGATTTTCCAGAGACCAGCACTGTGGCACAGCGGGTTAAAGCCCAGGCCTGCAACACCAGCATCCCATATGTGCACTGGTTTGAGTCCTGGCTACTCCACTTCCAATCAAGCTCCCTGTAAATGAGCCTGGGAAAGCAGCGGAGGATGTAACTCTGTCTTTCAGATAAATAAATCTTTAAGTAAAAAAGAGAGAGCGATTTTCCATTCACAAGTTCACTCCTCAAATGCCAGCCAGGACTGGGCCAGGCTAAAGCCAGGAGCCAAGAACTCCATCCTGGTCTCCCATGTGAGTGGCAGGGACCCAAGTATTTGGGTCACCTTTGGCTGCCTTCTCAGGAACGTTAGCAGGGAGCTGGAATGGAAGCAGGGCAGCCAGGACTCGAACCAGCACTCCGCTATGGGATGCCGGCGCTGAGAGCAGCCGCTTAACCTGCTGGGCCACAACTCCAGCCCCAGTTAGGCTCTTTTTATTAACTATATATGTATAATACAGATTTACAAAGAAAAAAAATATGGAAGGCCACACACCAAAAAGTTAGCATTAGTTATCCCTGGATAGTAAGCATGTCAGCATGTCATTTATTATTTATCACCTACTGTCTGTTCTTCTGTAACGGACATGTGTTATTTGTATAACTTCCCCAAGAAGGGAGTGGTCCAGGCTTGCAGTGAGTAGCCCCGTGTGTCAGTGAGCTGTGCTGCTGACTCCTTGTAGTGGGGACAGTGCAGTACATGGGCTTCATCCTGCTCCAGGGAGGCACATTTGCAGATGGCGATTTCTGATAGCCTTTGTTTAAAAAACTTTTCTTTGAGAGACACAGAGAGGATCTCCCATGTACTTGTTCACTCCCCATATGTCTGCAACAGCCAGAGCTAGGCCAGGCCAAAGCTAGGAGCCTGGGTGACCCCAAGTACTTGAGCCATCACCCGTGTCCTCCAGGGTGTGCATTAGCAGGGAGCTGGAAAGGAGAGCAGAGCTGGGATTCAAACCAAGGACTCTTGTATGGGATGTGGGCATCTCAGGCAGCCGCTTAACCCGCTGCCCCACATGTCTGCCCCTGTGTTGGCTTTTCTCCCCCTACTCCTGCAGAGCTAAGGGCTACGACCTGGAGCTGAGTATGGCACTGGGGACGTATTACCCCCCACCTCGCCTCAGGCACCTGCTCCCCATCCTTCTTCAGGGAACAAGTGTCTTCACTGCCCCAAAGGAGGTCGCTGAGATCAAGTAAGTACCACCCCTCTGCTCCCCACACTCCCACCCCCACCTTCTCCCCTTTGCTCTGCAGCCTGTGTCCTCACTCTCCCAGGCTCCATTCATTCATCTCCTTGCTGAACTATTCAAGGCGAACCAGTCATATGAGGGCCTTGCCCACACTAGTAGGAAACAGTGTAGAGATCTTCCTTCTGCTGGTTCACTCCCCTAATGGCCACAATGGCCAGGGTTGGGCCAGACTGAAGCCAGGAGCCTGGAAATCTATCTGGGTCTCCCACATTGGTGGCTGGGGCCCCAGCACTTGGGCTGTCTTCTGTTACTTTTCCAGGCACATTAGCAGGGAGCCGGATCGGAAGTGGAGCGGTTGGGTCTCGAACCAGTGCTCATATGGAATGGCTGTGTTGCAGGTGGCAGCTTAACACGCTGTGCCATCATGCCAGCCCCACAATCTCTTGAATTTTTAAAAAACATTTATCTTATTCTATCATGTGATGAGTGCTATGAAGAATGAAACAAACACTAAACTAAAACTAAAGCAGGGTAAGGGGATGGGCTGGTGCTGTTTCACAGAGAGCAGCTGGTCCTGGCCTCCCTGAGGAGAGAGATGAGGGTGTGAGGCACAGCTGGGGGGATCTGGGGCCAGAAGACCACAGTGCAAATGCTGAGTCGGGGCGGGGCATTGGAGGAAGTGGGAGTCGGGACTCCAGGCTCCAAGGCTGCTAACCCCATCCGGCTCCTTGCCCTTACAGTCTTTTCCCATTTCCCAGTGCTTCTATTCTTCCAGGGATTCACATGGGAGTAGCGGATGCTTATGGGCAAAGGGCTTGCCTGATCCGTCCTATTCTTGCCCCTTCCCGTCCCCCCTCCCCACCCTCACTGCCAGGGCCCAGCTGGAGACCTCCCTGAAGTGGAGGAACTATGAGATGAAGCTCCGGCTGCTGCTGCACCTGGAGGAGCTGCAGATGGAGCATGACATCCGGCACTATGACCTGGAGTCGGTACCCATGACCTGGGACCCAGTGGACCAGAACCCCAGGCTGCTCACGCTGCAGGTCGGGGCTCAGATCGGTGTGTAGGGGGGGTGGGCTCGAGGCAGCCAGCACCCCCAGGCTGCGAAAGCCCACTGTTGCTGACAGCAAGGCAAAACAGGAACACAGAGAGAGATGAGCGGCACCTGCTGTACGGGTTCAGCAGCCTGGACAGCCTGGGCCCAGAAAGAGGCAGCAGAGCAGACAGGGATGTTAGTCCAGATTTTGCTACCTCCAGCTGTGTGACCTAGAGCAAGCCCCTCACAGTTTCTGAACCCTAGTTTCCTTACCTGAAAGAGCAGCCGGAGCTGGGCCGATCCAAAGCCAGGAGCCAGGAGCTTCTTCCGGGTCTCCCACGCGGGTGCAGGGGCCCAAGGACTTGGGCCATCTTCTGCTGCTTTCCCAGGCCATAGCAGAGAGCCGGATCGGAAGTGGAGCAACTGGGACTTGAACCCATGCCCATATGGGATGCTGAGACTGTAGGCAGTGGCAGCTTTACCCGCTGCACCACAGTGCCAGCCCCTGAACTGGATATTTCATAGAGCCCTTGCTAGCTCTCAGACTTTTGAGAGTGTCACGTAAGACCAGATTCACCCATGAAGAAGGACTTCTGCACACCGATACAGATGGGAAGGGAGTGAGGAGGACTGGAGAGGACTGCCGAAGGCAGAGAATTTTGAATAAGATTTTCAAGGCAGAGTAGGAAATGAGGTGGCCAAGCGGATGGGCTGGGAAGCCAGTAGCCAGCCGGGTCCTGAAATCAGGCTCCCAGATTGTGGATTCCTGGGCTCAGCCTCTGAGCAGCTCGCGATTTCTTTCTCCTTCCTCTGGCTCTTGCCTTGTGTGGTGGGCGAGGAAAGCAGGGTGCTGGGATGGCCCAGCACCCCGCCTTGGGTTAGAAGGCTAGAGCCTCCGCCACTGCCCATCAGACAGCTGGAGAGCCCTAAGACAGAAGCTTGCTGCATTTCACACCTGCAGGTTCCTGGGGTGACCGAGAGCCGCCCTTCAGTGCTGAGAGGTGATCACCTGTTTGCCCTGTTGTCCTCCGAGACCCAGCAGGAGGACCCTGTCACCTATAAGGGCTTTGTGCACAAGGTGGAGTTAGACCGGGTCAAGCTGAGCTTTTCCACGAGGTGGGTGCTGGGGACAAAACAGCTTCTGGGCATCCCTCCGAGGCCAGCAGACAGTGGGTGCTTCTCCCTGAGAAGGCCCAGGGCAGGAGGGTTTTCCCTGGGGGACCCTGGGATGCCCAGCAGCTTGCCTTCCTAGAGAGCATTGCCTGGAGGGAACGGGGGGCAGGGGAGACACACAGCATCATGCCTGGCCTTTTACTGCTTCCCGGCCACCCGCCCACTACAGCTCTTCCCCTCCTCTCTCCCTGCCCAAAGCCTCCTGAGCCGCTTTGTGGATGGGCTGACCTTCAAGGTGAACTTCACCTTCAACCGCCAGCCCCTGCGAGTCCAGCACCGTGCCCTGGAGCTGACGGGGCGCTGGCTGCTGTGGCCCATGCTCTTCCCTGTGGCCTCCCGTGGGGTCCCGCTGCTGCCCTCCGATGTGAAGCTCAAGTGAGACTGCGGGCGAGGGGGCGCTATGCCTACTTGGAGTGGGGACCGGTGTAGGGGGTGGAATCAGGGACACTGGATGACTTCAAGTTCACGTTCCTGTTCCTGTGCCTCTGCCAGGCTGTTTGACCGAAGTCTGGAGTCCAATCCAGAGCAGCTACAGGCCATGAAGCACATTGTTAGGGGCACCACCCGGCCAGCCCCCTACATCATCTTTGGGCCTCCGGGCACTGGCAAGACCGTCACCTTGGTGGAAGCCATTAAGCAGGTGGGGCCAGGGCATAGACCTGGGGCCTGCGCTTCGACTCCCCTAGTGCCAGCCAATTTTTCCCAGATTCTGATTTCCTGCTTCTGAGCAGCTGGCGGTGGGAGAGGCAGGAGGTCAGGGTCACCTTGACTGTTGAGCACTATTGTATGGGTTGGGCACTGCACAGCTCTGAGAGTCACCACTCATATCTCGGTCACCATAGGCTTTTATGTTTATAGCAGCAACTGTCCAGCATTAAAAGTGCTGTTTGGACTAGCAGGGATCCGGGAATCAGACATGCCTTTGGGCCGTGACCTGCCTCGGCTGTAGGAGGCAGATGCTGCACTGCCCCGGTCTGAGTCATAGCTTCTTGCACCACTTATGTGTACCTCAGGTGGTGAAGCACCTGCCCGAAGCCCACATCCTGGCCTGCGCTCCGTCCAACTCGGGGGCCGACCTCCTGTGCCAGCGGCTCCGGGCCCACCTGCCCAGCTCCATCTACCGCCTCCTGGCCCCCAGCAGAGATATCCGCATGGTACCCGAGGACATCAAGGTGCCTGAGGGCTAAAGGATAGGGTGGGCCAGCTCGCAGGGCAGACACCGGGACTGGGAAACCAGGAGAGTTGGATTCGCATTTTTGCTGTGTTATCTTGGGTGGATCAGGACCCCTCTCTGAGTCCCTGTTTTCTTGTCTGTCAAATGAGGCATAAAACTGTCTAGGGGGCCAGAGCCAGAGTGAGGGTGCAAGTAGGCGGAGCCAAACTGATGGTTCTCGGCTTTTTGCAATCTGCAGCCCTGCTGTAACTGGGACGCCAAGAAGGGGGAGTACGTGTTTCCTGCCAAGAAGAAGCTGCAGGAGTACCGGGTGTTAATTACCACGCTCATCACTGCCAGCAGGTGGGGAGCGTGTGTCTGAACTCTAGGTGTGAATGAAGGGCCGACAGGCTGGGGAGGAGAGCAGGTCCCTGGCGTGACCCTGGCCTAACGCCTCCCAGGTTGGTCTCGGCCCAGTTTCCCGTCGATCACTTCACACACATCTTCATCGATGAAGCCGGCCACTGCATGGAGCCCGAGAGTCTGGTGGCCATAGCAGGTGAGGGCTCAGGGTGGGCTGCAGGAGTGCCGCCCTGGCTGGGGCTGGGGCTAGGGCTGGAGCCGGGGCTGCCCCCACTACCTTGCTGTCCTCCCACGCCACTCTTGCCTGCCAGGGCTGATGGAAGTCAAGGAAACAGGCGATCCAGGGGGGCAGCTGGTGTTGGCGGGAGACCCCCGTCAGCTGGGGCCTGTGCTGCGGTCCCCACTGACCCAGAAGCATGGGCTGGGCTACTCACTGCTGGAGCGCCTGCTCACCTACAACGCCCTGTACAAGAAGGGCCCTGACGGCTACAACCCCCAGTTCATAACCAAGCTTCTGCGCAACTACAGGTATTGCCTTCTGCACCCTCGGCCCCTCTGCCCCCGTCCTCACGTCCTGCCTGCAGCCCCTGCTGGAGGCCGGAGCCCGCAGTCCTGTCACTCCAAGGCTGCGTGCTGTGCCAGGACTGTGCCTTGGGAGACACGAGGGCTGCTTTCCAGCCCCATCGCTGCTACTTGCTGTCTGTGTGACTTAGCAAGTGGTCTTCACCCTGGACCAGTTGGCCTCTCTATCTTTCAGGAGGGACTGGTTAGTGTCTAGTGCGAGTCCCGGATGTAGTAACTGGGTTATCCAAGAAGAAACAAGAAAAATGAAGGGAATGAGAGTACAGTTTTTTATAAACCTATTGTAATTCAAATTAGAGAGTTATATACTTACTTTTGTGAATGAATTCAGACATCTAAAGTGCTTACAGGTGCGTGTCTCGTGCCATGGTTGAGCCATATGGGATGCCTGCATCCCATATCAGAGGGCCTGGGTTCAAGTCTCAGTTCCACTCTTCATCCCAGCTTCATGGTCATGTGTACCCTGAGAGGAAGCAGATGACCACTCAAGTGCTTAGGTCCCCAACAGCCATGTGTGGGAGACCCAGATGGAGTTCCTGGCTGTTGTGGATATTTGGGGAGTAAACTAACAGAAAGGAGATACCTCTTCTCTATTTTTTTAGGGGTTTATTTGTTTATTTGAATGTCAGAGCTAGTGAAAGAGAAATCTTCCATCTGCTGGTTCACTCCTCAGATAATTGCAGCACCCAGGGCTGGGCCAGGTTGAAGGAGCCTGGAACAACATCCAGGTCTCAACCTGAGTGGCAGGGGCTCAAACACTTGGGCCATCTTCTGCTGCTTTCTCAGGTGCATTAGCAGGGAGTTGGATTGGAAGTGGAGCAGCTGGGGGCTCAAACTGGTGCTCATAGGTGTAGTATCAGGTGGTGGCTCAACCCACTGTGCCACAATGCTACCTGCCTCCTCTTAAGTAAATCGAATTAGAAAAAGGTTTTTTTCAATGCTTAGGGAAGTTCTGGGCTGTAACTAAGAACTCAATAAATGTTAGCTATTGTGTCATTAACTCTCATTCTCTGTTTTGGAAGGTTTGGTTTTCTTAATTTTGTCCAGGAAACCCCTGGATTCTATGCTGGCTCTGCTCTCTGTGGTGTGCCAGGGCTGGCGGCAGGCGTCCAGCGGGACTGTGTCCTGTTGTCCAGGGAGCATGTAGAGCAGGACCTCAAGGTGGGGGGGAGGAGTGATCCCGCCCTCGGCTGTGCGCTTCCTTCCCCCTCCTGCCTCCCAGGTCCCATCCCACTATCCTGGAAATTCCCAACCGGCTGTATTATGATGGGGAGCTGAAGGCCTGTGCGGACATTGTAGACCGAGAGCGCTTCTGCCGCTGGGAGGGTCTGCCCCGGCAGGTGAGGCTGCCACCCCTGGCAGGAGGCGGCTCTGGGGGCAGACTGTGGCTCCTCCTCTTTGCCACCTTGGCCTGGGACCCCTGACTTCATGGTAGGGTTTGGGGGAGGGGAGGGCGGACCGCCTGGCTGAGGGTCTCCCCTGACCACACCCAGGGCTTTCCCATCATCTTCCATGGCGTCATGGGCAAGGATGAACGTGAGGGCAACAGCCCATCCTTCTTCAACCCTGAAGAGGCCGCCACGGTGACTTCCTACCTGAAGCTGCTCCTGGCCCCCTCCTCCAAGAAGGGCAAAGCTCGCCTGAGCCCCCGCAGCGTGGGCGTCATCTCCCCATATCGGAAGCAGGTCAGGCCCTCCTTGGTTTCCGGCAAGGCCCCCCTGCTGGTGGCTCCTCCTCGGCCAGGTCTGAATGCAGAGATGCCAGGAGCTCAAGCCTCTACTGCCCGCTGGGCCTCCTGGCCCCCTGCTTGGCGCTTGTCTTGTGCACAGGGGTTAACAGCAGGAGAGAAAAGCACCTGTTCCCTCCTTGCAGGTGGAAAAGATCCGGTACTGCATCACCAAACTTGACAGGGAACTTCGGGGACTGGATGACATCAAGGACCTGAAGGTGACACGCGCTGTTGCACGTTCCCTCCCTGCCTTCCGTGTACTTCGCACCTCGCCCCTGCCCTGCTGCTCCCGTCTGGCCCGCGTCCCTGCCCCCCCACGGCCTTGAGATGGAACTGGGTTCACCCCATGCCTCTCACTCCAAGATTCCAACTTGCAGGTGTGGGGCGGGATCAGGCCTCTGTCCCCAGGGTGAAGTCTGAGCTCCAGCCTGCCCAGCCCACCCTCAGTAGCCCGCCTCCCCTTAGACAGCAGTTCTAAGCTCTGGCTGCAGGTACCAATCACCTGGAGAGCCGGGGCCCCGCCCAGCCAATTCTCACAGCTATCTGCGGGCACAGTCAGGGCACTGGTATTTTTTTTATAGCTCCTCAGGTGATCCTACTATACCAGTTAGTGGCCTCTCCCTTGAATTCTGAGCAGGACCCAGGGTTGGATCTTCCAAAGGCATTCATTCCCAGTCAGTGATTATCTTTAGGAATGTTGGTTGCTCCGGGATCTTGTGGTCTCTGCACTGTGGTTGGCTGAGAACCCCTTCTGGGCCCGCCCCCTCCCCTGTGGCTTCCTCCTTCAGGTTTCAGCTTCCACAGCCTCCTGTCCTCTTCCCTGGGTGCCCTCCTTCCCCATCTCAGCAGTTGCCAGGAACTCCCTGGCAAGGCACCTGGTCTCAGGCCCTGCCTCTCCTCTCCTGCAGGTGGGCTCCGTGGAAGAATTCCAAGGTCAAGAACGCAGCGTCATCCTCATCTCCACTGTGCGAAGCAGCCAGAGCTTTGTGCAGCTGGACCTGGACTTTAATCTGGGTTTCCTTAAGAACCCCAAGGTTTGAGGGCTGGGGGGTGGCAGTGAACTCCAAGGTTTGAGGGCTGGAGAGTGGCAGGACCCTTTCCCTCCGGGGCACTCTTCCCTCCTGTGACCCCACCCCTTCTTCCTTTCAGAGGTTCAACGTGGCTGTGACCCGGGCCAAGGCCTTGCTCATCATAGTGGGCAACCCCCTTCTCCTGGGCCATGACCCCGACTGGAAAGCGTGAGCATTCTCACCCCACTACCCCTCTGGGAGGCCACAGCCCCCAGCCCGGGACAGGTGAACCTCATTAAGCAGCTGCTTAGGGTTCAGCTAGTCCTCAGAGCTGTTCCTCTTCACAGCAACCCCCTACCCCCAGTTATATTTGCAAGTTAACTGCCATGCCAAGGTTAAGCGACCCTTGGATGTGGCAGGAGTGAGGTCGGGCCTCCAGCCGCTGCCAGCCCTCCTCAGCCAGGCTGCCCAGCTCCTGGGTGCAAACATCCCTGTACCCCACAGATTCCTGGAGTTCTGTAAAGAAAACGGGGGGTATACCGGGTGCCCCTTTCCTGCCAAACTGGACCTGCAGCAGGGACAGAACTTACTCCAAGGTCTGAGCAAGCTCAGCCCCTCTACCTCAGGTATGGCTGGGGCCAGGGCGGGCCAGGTAGGGGACAGTGCAGGCGGAGGAGGTAAGGAAGGCAAAGCACACCACCTCTCATTCTAGGGCCTCATGGTCACGACTGTCTCCCCCAGGAGCGGGAGAGCCAAGGCGGCCTGTCCCTGCAAGTCGAGCCAGAGTGGAGGAATGAGCTCTGAAGACATGGCAGCCTGCCTTCTCACACCAGCCAAGCCTTAACCTCCTGCCCGGCCCTGAACCAGAACCCTGCCTGAACCAGAACCCGGCCAGCTGCCCCTCCGAGGGACAGGAAGGCTGGGGGAGGGAGTTTACAACCCAAGCCCTGCCGCCCCCTCCCCTGCTGGGGAGAATGACACATCAAGCTGCTAACAATTGGGGGAAGGGGGGAGGGAGAAAAAAATCTGAAAACAAGATTTTGTTCTATGCAAAAGCCTCAAGAGTGTCTCTTCTGCGCCTGCCCCAGGTTCCTGGGCCCCCAGGCTGACCCTGCAGGAGAGGGTGGGACCGACACACCCTGCTTAGTGCCACACACCCCACCCCCGCCCCCACACCTCCAGAGGAGGAAACCCAGTGGGCCGGGAAGCCACCCACAGGTTTCTAAGTTTAGCCCCAGCTCCAGACCACGCCCCCGACCCGCCTCCCAGGCCCAGAGCCAGGTATGACCTCATCCTTTGCTGTGAGACTCCACCCTGCACTCCATGGTCCTGTCTTTGCAGGGGCCCAGTCTGGCAAGCCACTTGGAAAGAGAGAGATGGGACTCGGGCTTGCGGCCAGGACAGCGACCAGGAGAGAGAGACAGGAAACTGCCATACACATGTTGGAGCCTGTGGCCTTTATTCGTGCCCCCCACCAAGTACAAAGACAAGGCCCCTGCCCGAAGCAGAAACCCCAGTCCTTACTCCAGACCCACTCCCCGGAGCCAGAAGTGCATAAAGTGCTGGTGTGTGACCGTCCTCTGGAGAAGGCCAAAGGGAGCCAGAGCCCTGCCCCCTGACAGGGCAGCAGCAGCAGCAGCAGGAGGTGCTCTGCCTACGGAAGGCTGGGCCTGTCACGAAGGCTGGGCCTGTCACGGCCACCTGGAGGGGGAGGGGGCCGGGGAACTCAGATGCAGTCCTGGGCAGGAGGAAACTGGAAAGGGAGTCTTCAGCATGGAGTCCTAGGAGAGTGGAGTGGAGGGTGGATTCTGCACCCCAGCGAAGGGAGGAAGGCAAGCAGGGGAGGCCTGGGGCGGGGGTGTCTCAGAGAATGGGACAGCCCCTCCGGCGCTTGTTCTTGCGGACCTGCAGGCCAGCCCGAGTGGCCATTTCGAATACCTCCCGCACCCCCTCCTTGGTCTTGGCTGAGCACTCCAGGTAGCCAAAGGCACTGATGCGGTTCGCCATGTCCCGGCCTTCCTCAGACCGAACAGGCTCCTGAGAAGACAGACAGGTCAAGGTCAAAGGCAGCCAGGGGGCTAGGTGTTCCTGCCCCCTGGGTATGGGTGTGGGAACTGCAGAAACAAACACTCCCTCCAGCCCTGACCCCACAAGGCACCCAGGCCCCAGCCACCCTGGGCAGCTTCTGGGCCAAGGACCCCCAAGACCCAGGTTTACATTCAAAATTCTCCCATCTGTTTCCTCCCATCCAGGCCTAGCCCCTGGTGGGCATGTGCTGCCTGGTTGAGTGCACCAGCCACCTCCTTCCTGGGCTCCCCGCCTCTGTTGGCACTCCAGTCCAACCTCTTGGGCAGCCAGAGTGACTTCCAACATGTGAGCCAGACATGGGGCTCCAGTTGTAAGAGAGGTCACACTCCCTAAACCTGTGCTAGGCCTCTGGTTCCTGAATAAACCAGCTGCTTGCCCCCTGGACCTCTTCCAGCCACTTCTCATGCCCCCCTCCCACATCCCTGCCCGCCCACACCTGCCCAGGTATTCTGATGACACAGCTGTACCCCTTGCCCTGAGGGAAGCAGCAGAAGCTGTCTCTCTGGGTGCACTTTTTTTTTTTTGGACAGGCAGAGTTATACAGTGAGAGAGAGAGACAGAGAGAAAGGTCTTCCTTCCATTGGTTCACCCCCTAAATGGTTGATAGGGCTGGCACGCTGCACCGATCCAAAGCCAGGAGCCAGGTGCCAGGTGCTTCTCCTGGTCTCCCATGTGGGTGCAGGGCCCAACCACTTGGGCCATCCTCCACTGCCTTCCCAGGCCACAGCAGAGAGCTGAACTGGAAGAGGAGCAACCGGGACAGAATCTGGCACCCCGACCGGGACTAGAACCCAGGGAGCCAGCACCACAGGCGGAGGATTAGCCAAGTGAGCCACAGCACCAGCCTCTCTGGGTGCATCTTAACAAACCCAATTCCAAAGACAGAAGGGACAGTCAAGTGCAACCAATGAAAATGTCGAGTGGACGGGTCACTTTAGACCTGGGGCTAGGAGCTGAGCACCACTGTCACCTCTGACAGGGCAATGAGCCTCGGAGAAGGCTCCCCTCTTGCTCAGAGTGCACCCTCGAGGGGAACTTCTGCCCCACCCACCTGCTTCATCTTGGCCAGCTCTCTCCTGGTGTGCTCGTCGTGCCTCAGGTCCTTCTTATTCCCCACGAGGATGATGGGCACATTGGGGCAGAAGTGCTTCACCTCCGGGGTCCACTTCTCTGGGATGTTTTCTGCACGGACAAGTCCCAACAGGTGTGGGTGCCTCCAGTGGCCCGTCAGAATCACAGTACCTTTCACAGCTCCAACCCCCCTCACACTGCACCGGCCCAAAGCCGCCTGCCTCCCCCACCCCACCCCACCCCACCCCACCCCCAAGGGCCAGAGCTACCTCTGGCTGATTCCAAGGTGTGTCAGTCCCCTCCCTCTACCACCCTCACCTAGACTGTCGGGGCTGTCGATGGAGAAGCACATGAGGATGACGTCCGTGTCCGGGTAGGAGAGAGGCCGCAGGCGATCATAGTCTTCCTGCCCTGCTGTGTCCCACAGAGCCAGCTCCACCTACCACACAGGCCAGTGAGCAGCCAGCCCCAGGGAGCCCAGCCCTGCCACCCAAAGGTCTCTCTGAAACCACTGCTCCTTCAGAATCACTGATCATCATCTATCCATCCACTGCACACCTGCAAGGTGCCAGGTTGTGCAACATAAATTAAGCATTTTTTTTTAATCTAAGACATGCTTGATCTGTGTGTAGTACATGAGTGGCCACTGTGAGAACCACTATGTTACTCAGTTCTCACAGTAACATTTGTGCAGGCGGGGGGGGGGGGGGTGCGGAGAGAGCTTTTATCATCGCAGTTTTGGGGCCAGGGGAGTTTAACCCCAGAGGAAAAAGGATCTGGCCCAGATTCTGTGGTAGAACCAGCTGTATCGAGATTTTTCTAAGACAACTTTCACATCCTAACTTGCACTGGTTCCAGTGATGAAGGACATCCTCTGTCTCTAAGTGACCGCGGGGTGGGGTTGGTGGCCGTCACCTGCTTGCCATCCACCTCGATGTCCGCGATGTAGTTCTCAAAGACGGTCGGGACATAGACCTCAGGAAACTGGTCCTTACTGAAGACGATGAGGAGGCACGTCTTGCCGCAGGCTCCATCCCCCACGATCACCAGCTTCTTTCGGATTGCAGCCATGGCTGGGGCTGGGAGGCGAGAGGCAGCGGGGGGTTTGAGGACCAGTCGACAAGTCCAAGAACACTTCTCTGGGGCCCCCCAAACCTCTCTGGAAGCCAGGGCATCCAGCAAAGGGAGAAGAGAGGATGGGGGCTTGATCAGGCGTCATCCTGCTAAGAACCAGGACAACAGAGCCCCAAAGTCCTCATCTCTGGATCAAGGTCAGAACACAACAGCAGGAGGTGGGAGGGAAACCCATGTGGGAAGCAGAACCCATGTTTCAATCTCTTACCCATTTAACACCTGGGGGACCCCTGACCCATAGGGAGGTGCTCAGAGACCCGCCAAGAAGAGCCACTTCTGTTTACTTTATATGCCAGGGTTTTTCAATCGGGCTTCCTCAGTTACGATACCTTTGAAGTTGAGTCGTCATCAAGTTCCAATCTAGAACAGTCTGTTCCTCAGCTCAGGTCAGCCCTGCCCACTCAGGACCAAGAGGTCTTCTCCAAGACCCCACAGCAGCAGCAGCTGCCAGGTGGTAGCCCCCACCCCACCCCAGGGGAAGGGCAAGATCTGTAGCACCCGGAGATGCTGGGTCCTGTGCGGGTATTCTGACAATTAGCCTCCACGGCCCCCAGACACCTGCAGGTGGCTTCCCACCTGACAAACTGGGAAATGAAGCCTCCATAAAGTTCAGTCCCATACACAGAGTCTCCGGGACCCGGGTCTGCCATTTGGACACATTACTCCAGAGCTTCAGAAAGGACAGCAGATGCAAGGAAACCCAGCCGGGGGGCAGTGGCAGCAGCCAGCGCCAGCGGCCCTGGCCCACCACACCCAGTCCCCAAGCCCTGCGCTTGCTGCACAAAGGAGGCTCAGTCCCGGCAGCCCACAGCCCGCATCTGGGCAGTCTGCCTTCCTCCCCCTTCCTCCCAGGCCTGGCAGCAACACTGGGTCACTCAGCCCTGGCAGGGGACAATGACCACACTGTAGGGAGCCACACATCCACTGCAGCAGAGTAAGTGTGTGAGAATAATCCACCAGGGAGTCACCTCCACCCACTCTCCGGACAGCCCCTTCCTCCCTCCGTCTGCGTCCGCGCAGCTCAAGGAAGGCCCTGCCCACCCCTCCCTGTGACTCAGGGCCAGCAGTCAGCTTCCCAGGGTTTGTGTGTGTCCCTCGCCCCAACACACATGAACACGCATCTGCACAGCTCATCACACCTTCCCAGCTCCCCTCACTTCCTCCTTCCTGGCCAGAAAGCCGACTTCCAGCCAGCTCAAGTTCCCAGGCCCACTGCCTGGGAGGAAGAGAGGGCGGGCTCCGGAGCGGAGACGAAGTCAAGGCTGTAGGGAAAGGGGGAGGGGGAGGGGATTGGAGCCTGGGCTGGGAGGAGCCCCAAGACAAGAGACAAATGAGGGCCGGCGGGGCCCAGCACCAGCCGGGCAGGGAGCAGTTAAGAAGGGGCGGGTAACCTGATCTCTGCCCTAAACCAGGCTGTTTCCCTCAGTCCCACATCCTGTCAAACTAAGCTAAGCTCCTCTGTGGCCCACATACCATCCCCACCTCGCACCTCAGCCCCAGCCTGCCTGGTGGGGGACCCTGGTGGCGCCTCCCTCCCAGACCCAGACACACACACACACACACACACACACACACACACACTCACAAAGCTGGGATGTGGGGGAAGAGGACAGGAGTACACGGCCACACTCTCCCCACCACAGAAGGGGCTCTCCCTGACATCCTGAAAGAGAAGCACCCAGGCAGGCCTGGCAGGCAACCACCGCGGGGAATCCCAGCGATCCGCTGCTACACGGTGCGGCGGACAGAAGCCGCAACTCTG